ATGATGAAGGAAGCCGACATAATTAATAAGAGTATTGTGATACTATTCGATGATGTATTGACGTGCTGAAGGGGTATCTATAAGGCAGAGTTAAAAACATTAATTGTAGTGTCATAACTCTGCCTTATATACCCCCTCAAATTGCAACATCATTACGTCACTTCATAACTTTCTATTTCACCTCATACATATATATACATGGCTGTGTGTCCTCATTACTGCTTTGGGCCCTATATGAAGGAAACTGACGTACTCATTGTGATCCTTATGATTGATAACCTATTGACTGACTGACCTCTTTTAAATTGAACTTCATGAGGTGGCTTATAGTCGAATCTCTTCTTCGCTTCTCCGAGGAGTTGATACCGATGTAATTAAATTTGGTGAGGAAAGACTATTGACGCGATAGTGATAGTGTTTGTCAGATAACTTGAAAAGTTGACTTTAAATACACTTGCTGCAAACATGTGCTTGCCATTACATATATCTTATATATTGCTACAGCCTACACAAATGTACTGTGCTTCACAGAATATCACTAGTCATACGAGTCTGTCCACAATGACGACGATATGGAGTGAGGATGAAAAATGCATGTATATTTTATAAGTAGTGTACAGTGCCAGAGTCTATATAAACAGTGTATTTACACCGTGTACAATGTACGATTGTACGTTACATATGTAGTATATAAATATATAGTATTTAGTTTACGTACTAGTCCTACATAGTGTATGTAGTATTTACATTCGGTAACGGCAGTAGTGATCGATATTTCTTAATGATTTGATTGGATTACCTTGTAGCTGAGGAATTGTTGGGGTGGTTACGAACTGATGCAAATTTGAAAACGTAAAAACCTATAAACAAGCTGTAGTCTTGTAATCTATACATATTCTATAAAAATCAGTACAAATCGACTCGAGAAGTATAATAAATACGATATCACCCTGGTAGCGAGATATGAATATATGTAAATATTCGTATTTTGACTTCACGGTAAGAAGAAAATAGTCATCTTCTATGGCGATGAGTCATCATTCCCTGTCACTATTGGTGTCACAATCTGCCGAACGCCCAGAGCGACACTGTTCTTGCTTCTTTGTACAATGTACACAGTGAGTGGCTATACATATATTGTTTTGATACATATTTTAATGTACGTTTATTTATATAAATACATACATCTCGGCGGCTTTTGAAATCGCTCTACCTCTATTACGGTATCGTTGAGGTCAAATCTACAGATGTTAAACACGATCAAGGTATCAATCACTTTATATTAAATCACGCTCGTGCTTATAGAATGAGTGCACTGGGCTTACACAAACGGCACAGTGGAAACGATCACAAAAAACACTCAAGTATGTCTGAAGAAGACGATGAAGCCCTATTCAATGTCGGCTTGGGAGGTGCTGATGACTATTTATACGATGATGGAGATGATGATATGAATGAGTCGCCACGTCTGCATTCAATTGATTTTGGTTCCACTAGCAATAGAGGAGGTGGCGCTCCAAGTATTGATGATATTCCACTTATGGAGAAAGACGAGGTATGTTCGGTTGTGAGCATTTCTACCATTGTATATGAC